ATGACTCGTGTTTGGTTCTTGGACCGCTGCAACGAAATTTGGAGAGCCGCTGGACTACCTGAGCCCTCAGGACACTGCTTTAGAATCGGGGGAGCCACGGAACTTCTCCTAAGGGGCACACCTCCAGACGTCGTGGCCATGCAGGGCAGGTGGAAGTCGAGAGCTTTTCTAGAGTATTGGCGAAAGATTGATTCAATTCTCCCTATGTTTGTCACTTCGTCTCTTTCGGACTCACGTGTTGCTATGGTCCAGTCATCAATGAGTTCATTTTCCCGTCGTTACCAAGTAGTCACTTAATTTTGCACCCTTTATCCCTGTTGTGTACACGCTGTTGGCGTAATCGCATTCGTTGTTCTCGCATCCTCGATTTGGGGGGTCGGATCCATACGATACATTGATAAAGCTGCCTTCACATGCTTTTTGAAACGTATCTCTTGTAATCATGGATTCTGTCTTTATCACTGCTGGTTTTGCAGCTCTAGCGATCGTCTATGGGGTGTACCGTCGATACTCTCATATCTCTTTGGCAGACGTTCCTGGCCCAGAGTCTGCATCGTTTATCATGGGTATGTCTATGATCTATTGCCGGATCCCTCCGCTGCTGATATGACCACCAGGGAATCTGAAAGAACTCTACCAAGGTCAGGCAGCGGATGCTGACTTCAAGTGGCAAGCTCAGTATGGGAATATCGTTCGGTTCAAGGGCTCTTTTGGCGTATGCAATGAAATCCACGCTTGCGGTATACATTTTCTGATCCTCCGCTGACTCATAGGAAGACCAATTGATGATTTCGGACCCGGCCGCCCTGCAATACATATTTGCAAAGTCAGCCTATCGGTTTCCCAAACCGCCTGATCGCCGCGTTCTCTCCCAGCTGATCAACGGAAAGGGATTATCTGGGCGGAGGGTAGGTCTTTAGCCACCAAATCAAAACGTGGAATCTGTAGTTAACTTTCGAAGGTGACGATCACAAACGACACAGGAGAATAATGCTCCCTGGATTCGGTGGACCGGAGTCCAAAGCCTTCTTATTATTCAAGAACTGCGCCGAGTCTGTAGGCATCGAAGTCACTGAATACTCTCAACTCCCGTCAATAACGTAAATTCTCACAGATGAGCAACAAATGGACGGAGACCATCAATAACTCTAAGGAGGGGTCAGTGGTGTTCAATATTCCTGTCTGGCTGTCCCGCGCGACCTTAGATGCTATCGGCGAAGGTATATGCTATCAGGGTACAGCACCTTTTTCTCATATCCTTTTCAGCTGCTTTTGATGTCCGCTTCAGCTCCATTGACGATAATGAAAGCGCCCTGCGCGCTCATACAGGATATGAATGTCAGTCTTGACTTTTGCCAAGCATCTGGCTTTCCCTTAACTGATCTGAGTTGAATTTGTAATAGGACTGACGTATTTGGATCCCCGTCAGATGGGGAGGTACTCTTTCAGGGGATTTCAAAGTATATCCCACGTCGAATTCTCGAATACTTCGTAGGAAGGGCCAAAACCCACGTATCGTGCGCATGCGTGAGAGGTAACTTGGCGACATCTGTTGCAAAGCAGTTGGTGAAAGACAAGGCAGAGATGATATTGGGGGGCAAGGCAGTCGAGATGTCTTTAGCTTACTTGGTGGGTCGTCGTTCTCAACAGCCTCATTCAGATCTAGGCCATCTAATTATAGCACAGTCAAAGCCAATATGGATGCAGATGCAAAGGCGAAGTTAACGGAAGAAGAGCTGTTTGCTCAGATGCGGTGGGTCCGTTCCGTTTGTCGTGATTGCACGCTTTCCGATCACAGATTGTACAATTACACAGTACTATCCTCCTCGCAGGTCATGAGACGACCTCGAACACTGTCAGTTGGGCACTTCTCGAGCTAGCCAGGCACCCTGAGATCCAATCCCGTCTCCGGGAGAGATATGGGAAACGGAAGCGGCTGTGCACGCACGCGGGGATGTCAACTTCACAATCGCTGATTTTGACGCTATGCCATATACTACTGCTGTGATGAAAGTGCGTAACGTGCTAACAATATTTGGGCTGTGGTAATATTGCGCTTGTTATTGTAGGAAGTTTTGAGATTTTGTCCTGTCATATCATGCAACACCGATGCGCCAGCCAAGATGACGTCCTTCCGTTGTCACAGCCAATCACCACGATCTGGGCACGTCATCCGTGAGCTACCAGTTCCGAAGGGTACCCGAATTGTTGCATCAATTGCAGCGTACAATCGGTATGAGGATTCACATAACGCCAACATACTTTCTTCTGACGGTGCGCTCATATCGGTTAGAAACAAGGAGCTCTGGGGCGAGGACGCGCACGTGTTCAATCCGGATAGATGGCTCAATGGCACAGCCAAAGAGAAGAAGGTGACGTCAATAGGAGTGTACTCCAATCTGTAAGCTTTGGTCTCTATCTTACAACACGTATGAACCCCAATTTTTTTCTAGAATGACATTCGGAGGAGGAGAGAGGTCGTGTATCGGATGGCGCTTCGCGTGAGTGTCAACGGCTTGTGTGGCAACGGTGGAGTGAATCTAATATGAATGTTCACTCAGGGTGATCGAAATTCAAGCCTTTCTTACGGAGATAGTTGGAAAGTTTGAGTTCGCTCCAACCGATAAAACCGAACTTATCGGCGGGAAGCTTGCTTGTTGATGGTTCCAACAGGAAGGTGAAGTTGAGAATGGTGTTCAACTGCCGTTGAGGGTTTCACTGGCACCACGCACTGGTAAGGGATGTTAAGCGTCGCTCCTTTTGCTTCCTGTGCCGAAGGCAGTGAGTAGAACGGGTGTTGGACTAGTAACTATCTCGGTGCCCAACGGTCACAGAATATTCGAAGATTAAAGCCATGCGTCATTGCCCAAGTTGGGCTGTACCTGATTCCTCTTGGCTCCTCAAGTTGCGAGTGTGCGGGACTCCATTGATCGACGTTATCAGATATTTACATACCTTGATAATAATACATATGCTTCAATGAGACAAGCAAAATCTCGTACATACACTACTGAAGTTTTGATCATAAACCATGGTCTCAATGTGAACTTTACCTTGAGGTTCAATAGCTAGCTCGCAGTGTTAGGAGTGGGCCGGGAAAAATAAACATTGAAGCCCTCTTGCTGCAGTAAAAACGTGACTGAGCAGTCGCGGTGAAAAAACCTGTTATTGAAACTCACGATAAGTTGCCAAGAAGGGCAAGACAGTCAGACATGGCGATTGGGAACGGATGGTGCACTGACTCGGAGAACCAGGCCTATATGAACTTACGTAAGTTGCAATAAAAATATAGCCGTGTGGCCTTTAACACACATTCCTCACTGCCCAGACGGGATATATTGAGTAGTCGCACTCATATCTTCTCATTGAACATCTGGATTCAAATAACTTTATGGACCGATGGTAAGTTGCTATTCCTGTGTACGCTACCTTGACAGCTCATGAGTGACATGATCCTCGAGACACATCATGACTATGTAGTTCTTCCGACGACGCGCGAGCCAAGGGAAGATGTCAACGAGGACGCCGACCTTATTCTAGAATCATTACTACGAGACAACAAGGGCGTCACGCTTGACACACCACATGGAGGCTCTCTAGTTGTTCATGAAGATGGCCATACCTATAACTATTCATACGGACCAAGCGGAATTCCAGGTCTAGTTCGCAATCGTTATGCTGTTGCGTGCGCAGCGTTTGCTGGTATTGGCGGTATTTCATTCGGGTATGACCAAGGCGTTATTTCCAATGTCCTCGTGATGAATGACTTTGTGACTCGGTGGCCAATCGGTCCATGGGAAAAGGGATTGATGAGTATGCAAAGCCGCGGTCTCATCAGGTATCTCACTCATATTGGAAATGATAGCTGCTGTTCTCGAACTTGGCGCATTGTTTGGTGCCATCACAAGCGGAATTTTGGCAGATAAGTATTGTAGACGTCATTCCATTTTCTTCGCATCCAGTGGGTCATTCGTTTATCCCGTAAAAGCGACCTAACCACGTGCCTTGTCAGTTATTTTCTGCCTTGGTTCGGGGCTTCAATGCGGGGCGCAGTCGTTGAATGATCTTATCATTGGGCGGGCAATTGGTGGCTTCGGAGTGGGGGCCCTGAGGTGATTTTGAAACTTGAATGGGTTCTACTTATGTAACTGAGTGGCGATAGCATGCTTTCGCCGCTTTACATGGCCGAGATTAGCTCTCCAGAGCTCCGCGGTTCACTTATGGCGCTTGAGCAACTCGCTATCGTCCTTGGAGTCGTTTGGTTTTTGGACAGGTTTTCTTACGAGACACAGTTCGTGTTTCTGTTACGAATTCCAATTGTTCTCATTTGTTGTATTGGGTTCATAGTTGCCGGATCTGCTTCATGGAGAATCCCATTGGCACTTCAGTTCCTTCCAGGTATCTCGCTCTGCCTCGGATGCTTTGTTCTACCACCTTCACCCCGCCTGCTGGTGCTCCATGGTTGTATCGATGACGCACGGAAAACTTTAGGCAAACTTCGTTTGCGCACTCCTGACGAAGCAAAGGAAGATCCGTTGATTCAGGCATTTTTTTTCCTATTTATGTCTGCATCAATGACGTAACATATATCATAGCTTGAGCTATTGGAAATGCAAATTAATGTTGCTCTCGTCCGACGAAAGGCAAAAGACGGACTCTCACGCGAACATGGACAACCCTCTTTGGCCGGGAGTACGTTATACGGACTCTTATTGGCATCATGATCATGTTCTTTCAACGTGAGTATCGTCAGGTGTCATTATTTATTGCGTGCGAGTCCGTGCCTGAACATGAATTGTGCTATAGAGTGGAGCGGCATTAATGCACTTCTTTACTATGGTCCAACTCTGGTCGAAAGCATAGGGATGCGCGGGGAGATACTGTCACACTTCTTGTTTCAGGTGGGATCGGAATTGTCCAATTTCTTGCAGTTTTCCCGGCCATCATATTTCTCGACCGGTGGGGTGTGTGCCTTTGTCTTTTTGTAACTTCGTGTTTTCTTAGTGCACTTCTCATAGGTCGTAAACCCCTTCTCAAAGGTTCTCATGCTTGTTCTTGAATCACCTGTGACTCACTGCAGTAAAGGCGGGGAAGCGCAATCATGGCTGTGTCGCATTCATGATCGCAATCTTAGTGTGTGCACCTGTTCATGATCAGCACATACTGAGCCACAATAATTCCTTCTTCTACAGATCCACCTTTTTTCAAGATGACTGGGGATCGAACACCATAGCCGCTTGGGTAGCGGTGTTGTAAGTTTTTTACCCCGCTTCCCTTCACTTATTCACGTGAAATGATCCCCTACAGTTGCATGTACATATTTACTGCAGCCTACGGCATGTCCTTTGGACCTATTGGTTGGGTTCTTCCTAGTGAGGTATTCCCTCTTTCTATGCGAAGCAAGGGGGTTTCCCTGTCAACAGCTTCGAACTGGACCAATAATGTTTGTTCCGTTGTCTGTTTCCGTAACTTGCACTGACATGAGACCCTCTTTTTCCCGCTGGCGCTCCCCTTGTGTAGTCTTGATTGGTCTGATCACACCGCCACTGATGGAGATGTCTTCTGCGTATGTCCTTCCGTATTCAGATATCTTGGCAGTGATATATTGTTTGCGGACCCGTATTCTTTGGCAGCGCGACCTTTATTATTTTCGCGTGCGCCTGTTTCGGGGCCTACCTGTGGTCTAATTATGTGGTGCCGGAGACGGCAGGTGTTTCTCTCGAAGAAATGGATGCAGTATTTGGTTCTACAGCGGGTCAGGAAGACCGCAAATGGACATTCGAGGTATGAGATTGTCCTGCTCAGTCTATGTACTAGTCTTCACATTCTGAACGTTATCCCAGCTGGAACGCGAACTTGGCCTGCACGCCCTGATTAAGGGTCTCGTCGCTTCAGACGCACTACGCCAAGAGTAAGCGACAATTCTAATAGATTCAACAAGATGTGGTATCTACGTATCTAGACGAAGCATGTTACCATGTTATCTGAATACGATGTGTACAGTATAGCGCACTAATACTTCGGATGGTTCCTGTCATTATACAAGTTTTCTCCAGAAATACGGACGGATTAGTGAACGTCCTGACTGATAATATGATTAAGATAACGAGCGCGTGTCAGGGCGTGGTGAGGAGCGTGGCAAGGAGCGCGTGGGTCGAGTTAATGAATTAAGGTGCAGTGATGTGAATGCTGTTGTGCTGCATCGAGGGAATTAATTGGAAGTAGTACGCCGCCGTCCTGTGAGAGTGCCGTATGCGTCCGAAAAGAGCTTGAGCTTCCCGGAAGGAGTATCAGGCGGGTCCTGTGTCGTTTGTTTGCGTTGCTGCGGCACGGGGAAGAAGTGCACCGAGTGATTCGCGTTTTGGTACAACATGCGTGACTCGGACTCTGCAAACATCATGCGCTGGGGAGATCGTGGCGTGTATGATTCGGGGGAAGGAAAGAACGACTTTGAATCCCGTGGTCAGACATGTGGTAAGACACGAGAAGCATCAGTAATTGCTCACAACTTACGCTCCACTTGCATGATGATGGGATCAGGGCCCTTTGGTCCGATTCTTCCGAATCGGTTTCCCTTTCCGTCTGTGGCTGCCACATCCATGGCTTCTCCTCTGGCTGGGCTGCAGCACCGGCAGCTGATCATCATCGTATACAGCTTCTGCCCAACAGATGTCCAAGAAACATTCCTTTGGAGCATAAAGAAGTTGCTCGTCTAGTGCGCCTAGACAGGTGACGTCAAAATCAACTTCACGTAAGGAGCTGTCAAAAATCCATATAGGGTGCGAGGGTTCAAGTCCCGCTGGCCCTGGGGTTACAGGTACAGGATCAGCGAAAATTGGACTCGAAGATTCCTGCGTGAGTGGGGCTTTGCGGCTCGTTTGAGTGAAGTAGGTACGAAGAAGTCTTTGGAGGGGGCGAAGGCGGACCCGGCGGGTGGAAGAAATCGATCGGTGTCGGTGAACGTGGGGGATCAGGATGTTCGTAACGATACTCGGGGAATAGGTGTGCTAAGGGAGTGTTGGGATTTGTGTTTGTACTCCCCTGAACGCGTCTGAGGTCGCTCGAGGGCGAATGAACGACTCTTCAATGGGAGAGTAGAATGGACTGAGCTGTAAAACTTGATCAGAAGCCTAGTAAACGAGGAGGAGCAAATCGGCACTTACAGGGAAGTCAATGCATGAATCGTCGATGCTTTTCCTGACAGATGTTGGGAAAGATATCTGGGCGACTCTCGTGAAGCGCGTCGCAAACCGGTCGCGAGGAGTGCATCTGTCAACAGTAAACTTTGTAGACTTCAAGTTCATCGTAAAGATTTTTTGCAAAGGAAGGAGGGAGAGGATTCGAAGGGAAATACAACAGCAAGCGCAGACCACCAATACCTCGGGAAGAGAGATAGGTTCGTCGCGAGGTTTCATCGCTATCTTTATCCAAAGCAAAGTATGGGCGTCAAACACAGCACTAACGTGAAGACCCGAAACCAACCTTATATGAAAATGAAACGTAATGTATTGCGTACTGCATGAGCTTCCCTGTTGAGAAGCAGGAATTGGACTGACAGAAGGGATTGAGGATCAGGGATCATGGGAATGTAACACGATGACTGTATGATAGATCAGGTTAATCCCTGCATGCGGTCATAATCGGCTCCCAAATGACCGAGTAGAACGAGCAAAAGGATGAGATCATCTTCTGCGGCGGAACGAGTGACTAGGCGACGACATGAGTAAAGGACATATATAGCCCCACGAAGTAAGGGTCAATTTTATGAGGTCTTCGAGTAGCCTAGGAGCCTCGACGACCCTTGATGGCGATCTATCACGCTAGTATAGACTCATACTAGGTGAAAGTTGAAAGCCGATTGGACGACACCTTGGGCATCATCCTCCATGCGTATCTTGACGAAAACTTTGTTGTTGTCGGCGCGACATGCCGTAGTTGAGCACGCCCACAGTGAAGTCAAACTTGAAGTTCTTATGGTTACACCAGCGGTTGCCTGACACGACAATATATGATGCGTCAAATCCGTAACATTGGGAGGAGGTCTTTCTGCCGATCGAAGGACGCCACCATGTCCAACATCAATTCCGCTCGAATGCACAAACGGAACTTGTTACGGGAGCGACTCGTCACGGTGTGTGGCCGCCGGGCACCATCAATCTAGCTATGGAACGTTAGCATTGTTTAAGATTAACCATACCCCATATTAGAGTGTTTTTGCTAGTTGTAATTGACTGTTCCGTCCATCGAGTCTGTTACCGCCTACAACAACAGCATGTTCAACCTTTCCTGGCCATTCAAACCTTTTCCACCAAATTTATCCACACTGTCGCACATCATAAGTGATGTTTGCTGCGTACATGTGTCGTCACCGTCGTGCGGGGAACGTCCGAGTCCTTGAGCTTGAGAGTTAACGCGGCTAGCAAAAATTATTAAAAATTACATAACTAAACGCAAGGTTGGTGCAATAAACTCAACGGGTCTCAAGTTAATGAAATCCTTCAAAAAACAAGTACTCTATTACTGCATAATAGTAATTAGTAAATATCACTGTCCGAGTAGTAAGCCTTCTTGACAGAATACGTGAAACTAACGTGTGCATCAAAACTGAAACCTTGCAAAACGTCAGTTGCTTGTTCACGAGGCCAATCAATTTGTGTTTCACAGTAACGCTCAAGTACACTTGCACAAGAAACGCTGTGATTACTCCGATATATGGCTACTGCACAAATAAACACATTGAAAAACAAACAACGCATAGGTCGCGAAAACGATGTGTAAGCCTCCACAGGGAGAAACGAGCTACGGTAGCGGTATAGGCGTGAGTTAAAGAAGAGAAATTAGCACATCGTCTCAGGTCGGATTCGGTATGGGACGCGATATGTGAGGTGTACAGTCCGCGTTGACGGGGTTAACGAGGCGTAAGTGAAGCAATGCAACGAGCGTGGGGTGTGCGAGAAGCACAATCGGACAAAGATATAAGTCAAGTGTGAACATGAAATGGAAAGAAAGTAAAAGATAAAGAAGACACAAAAGTGAGTAAAGTAACACTAACAACGGCCAGACTGAGAAAGCGAAGTGAATAAAGAACACAACAACCAATAGCCCAATGGGTCCCCCTCACGAGGACATCCGAGGCTATCCTTCCCATCCACTTGCTGTTGGCGACTTTTTCGAGAGGGAGATACGCGGGGTATAAGTGGGCACTTCCACAGCACACCTCACTCTCTAGGCGATCCATATTTAAATGGATGCTTCCATCTCCTCTGGGCCAGATACAATGACGTTTGCATTGTTCCCTTCGTCTTCAGGGTCCACAAACTGGGAAGACTCGATGGGCTCAATAGCGCTTGCGGGCTCTGCACTTGCTGGCCCATTTCCACTGGCGCTCCGCCTGACTGAAGAGCCACCTTGGGGACCCGATCGCGGCGGGTTCGCACACCGATCCTTGCCATGCGCAATACGCAAGTTGCATATTCCGGCTTAATCTTAATGCTATCGATGGCCTTAATAGCGTTAGAGATATTAGTGAAGTTGACGAAAGGCACAGTTCCTGAAGATAACAATGTCAGACACCATCGATCGCCAGCCAAGATAACGCACTTCTCCCTCAGGAAATTTACCAGCTCGATATCTCCAACTCGCCAAAGTCCCTCTTTAGCTTCTCCTCGTTGAATAATTCAAAGTCTTCAATGTTGCCCACATAAACGTTCCTGGTGGCCCCTGAGTGCACAGCGAGCGCAAGGCTAGGCGGCAGTGGACCGGAATTTTTGCCCCAACCAATCTTGAGCCGCCGGTTGTTCAAGGTGAGGCCTTGGTAGGATGCCACTTGGTAGAACGTGAACGCTGCTGCAGGGTCAACAAAAGTGACGAACTACCACCCAAATAGATCAGTAATGCATTTAAGACATGCCATAAAATATGACTGACGGCAATGTGCTTGTCCTGCATGTACCTCACGCTCTGCAACACACCACCACGAATAGCGTTGCACAAATCTTCAGTTGTTGTCTCAGGATGAATGTTGCCCAAGTAGACCGTGCGATTGAGGGTTTGACCACCTGTCATGTCCGTTGTAAAGGGATAAGGCGAGAATGGCGAACCAAAGTGATTCGGACCCGCAGCAGGGCTGAGATTTGCAGATTGAGCGACGAGAGATTGGGCGGTCGGCAGCCTGGGCAGCTTGTGCAGCAGCTTGCTGAGACTTGGGTATATATGCGCAACGATCCTTGCCGTAGTTGAACGCGTTTTCCAGCCCAAGCTGGCTCAGTAGGAAGCGTGTTAACCACCTAAATGACCGCGTATCGGCACCAGAATATGGCAAATTTTCAAATGCAGCATACCTTGGTAGCAACCGAGATACTCAAGAAATGTACGAACCCAATGTTCTTGTCACGGACAATTTTGACCTGATCAATCAGCCCGAACCGGCTGAGATCATCCCGCAACTGCTCTTCTGTCGTGTTTTCATCCAGGCCACCGAGGTATACGTTCCGGCTCGCGTTGCTCTGGCTGATCGCAAGGCTCACCTGCGCACTGACAGGAGATGGCTTTCCCCATCCGATCTTAAGTTTCCTGGCCGTGAAGGGAGAGCTTCTTGATGGTGGCGTCGGCGTGGAACGCCGCAGCGGTTGCACCGTCAAGAAAGGACAGGAAAAACACACGATTTTTCAGGAAGAACACGAATGGATTCGAGGGGGCCAAAGTGCACGAGGTTAAGTAGCTCATCGACAGAGGCGGTTGCGGGGAGGTTGCCAACATAAACGGTGCGACCAGTGGCATTGGTCGTTGCAGAAAGCGCGGCAGAGATAGCCGCCGGTGAGTAAGCACCTGGAGTCGGAGGAATGTTGACATTTAGAGAAGGTAGCCGAGATTGCTACACATGATACATATGAGATTAGCAATCGGACCCATTTCCGTGTCAATAACGACGGGATGTACCTGACCATAGTTTACCAGCCTGCGCACCATAGGGAAAAACCGCCCAACATGCTCATCCCGGGCAATCCCATGCCAAGCATGTTGTAACCAAAGCCTCCATATGGGCCCACACCGTTTGGCTGAGGTGTGTGCTGTTGCTGTTGCCTGGGCAAATGGGTTTTGGTGTGCGGGGGCTCATTTGAGGGTTCATGCCTGCACCATTGACAGCAGTGTTAATCGTAAGATTCGGGAGTAGAGTAAAGCTGATTGGAGAAGGCAGGAGATGAAGGTTGGAAAGGCTGGTTGATCTGAGCATGTGGACCATAACCATAATTGGCAAAGGCGTCGCGAGTAACAGTAGTAGGTGCCGCAGCGGAGGTAGCAGAAGCACTAAATGTGGGGGACCAACGTGCCTTTTTGGCATCAGGACCACCGACGGCATCCATAGACCTCTGTTTGACGGGTCAACTGTGCGATGATGAGATTGAAAAAAAGACCGACCTTCATCATGTCGAGATCAAAACCGTAAGAAGGGGTAGTGAGTTGCAAAAGCTGTTTGGGAGTCGTCCATATTTCCGGGTATGAGGTAGGAGAATGAAATGGATGAGAAGGAGAGCAACGGCGGAATGTATGTATTGAAAAAAACCGATGGACCAAGTTAGAAAAGGTTTTGCAAGGTATAATGAATGACAGGGAGGTAGAGAGCGTGGGTAGGGCAGAATGCTGTGATGTACTGTCGTAGTACTCGTAGTACTCGTAGCCTGCCCTATGCAAATGAGAGTGACTGATAATAATAAAAACACGCACAAAAAGATGGGCGAAGAGTGCGATCTGATATAGATAAACTTGCAACGAAGAACTGAACAGAAACGAGTCAGGACAAGTCTAGCACAAGAGCTAAGCCAGACACAAGTCCAAGACAAGATCGTCTCTTCAATTCACGGTCCCAGCGAAATAATAAACAAAGATCGCAGGAACGCGGGCGACGACGAGCAGCACCAAACGTGAATCCGAAGAAGAGAAAAAAAACAACCAACGACAAGCGAATTCGAAGAACGATGTAGCGGACGAACTTGTTTTTCACATCAATATCTGACTTTCCCACATAACGACGCACGGACCCATCGTTTCACGTTCATCATGACCTTCATCACTGAGGTCAAATATGCAGTTTGCTGGGATCGTGAAGAGAAGGAAGGCGAGCTTTATCAAAATTTCGATGCCCAAGATGATATCAGGTAAACTCGCCAGGATTCAGGCTCGTCGCCCTCTCATGAAGTTTAACCTTCCTCTGTCTAAAATCGCGGCAGGTTCTGATCACACCATAAACCTTATAAGGTGGGATTTTTGCAGTTCAAGACTGACTTTTTCCCCAAGTGACAGTACTAGGAAGCTCGCCCTTCTCGCTTCCGATTCATGACCTGAGGTGTAACATCCCTTTGTAAAATGGCTTTAAACACGGCATGTTCTGATCACGGAACGATCGTCATCTAAGGTAGAATTTTCGCAGCCTAGGTTAACTTTTGATTGATGGAATCAGAAAGGTCACCAGGATTCGCTCCTCACTTACAACCTCCCATGACCTAAGGTATAATCTCCACCCGTAAAATGCTCTAAAAACGCGGCTGGTTCTCATCACAGACAAATCCCAAGGTGAAATTTTTGCAGCCCAAGCTAAGTGACGTTCTAGAAGGTCGCTAGGATTCATGCTCAGACATAAGCTTGTCGTCTTCTCACTCCATGGCAGGTACTTACAGCCCCACCCTGTAAGTTGTTCTAAATTCGCGCCAAGGTTCTGATAGGTAGTGATCCCCCGCGTTGGCACGCTTATATCTTTACGAGGCATGCGAGCAAATCAGACTACATACAGTCAACGAGGAGCTCTGTCCGCGTTCGTCGTGGCAGAAATAACATGAGGCTACTGTGGTATCTCGTGGTTCTCACCAGGCTGGTATAGTCCTCTCGACTTGGAAAAGTCAAGCCTGCATGGAGGTCTGCATGATGGCGATTGCGTCCGTGATGCATTGATGCATGTACAAACATACCACCTACATATATTACTGGGTAGTGCTCTTTATCGCCGGGCCGCTGTCTCGTAGTGATCCACCAGCACGACGCGTTCGAGTTACATCTCACGTTATATCAACGCCAGCTATTCTGAAGGGAACGTTACCGGACCAAGTTACCGCGTAATACGTATCAGAGCGTATCATTTCAGATCATGACAGGCACTGATAGCTGGTTTCTCTCCGAGTGACCGGTGTGCTAGCCTACATATGTAGTTCAACGCCAATGGATATCTTTATATTCTCTCATCCATTTTTCCCATGTCGTCCACCCAGCGGTTTTCTCTTCTCAATTCATTGCCGTCCATTAATCTAGAGTCGCAATGGCCGCAGGCTAATGAATCACTCGTATTGGAACCCTTTACATATATTACCCTCCAAGCCCGGCGAGGAAATCCGCACACTGCTCATCGAGGCTTTCAACATATGGCTTGCAGTCCCTAGCGACCAACTCGAGGTCATAGACCGTGTCGTTCAAATGCTGCATAATGCGAGCTTGATGCTCGATGACATAGAGGACGATGCGCAGTTGCGAAGGGGACAGCCTGCGACGCACAAGATATACGGCATCCCGCAAACTATTAATACCGCCAACTACGTATATTTCTCAGCTTATAAGGAGCTCTCGAAGCTGAGGAGACCAGGCGGGGACGAGGGCGAGAATGCGGTGAGGGTGGTGGGCACTAGCGATTTGGATTTGGTAGTTACGGAGGAGCTTTTGAATTTACACCGTGGGCAGGGTTTGGAAATCTTGTGGCGAGATTTGTTGCAGTGTCCAACGGAGGAAGAGTATATATCTATGGTTAACAACAGTAAGTCCAGGTCCCTTTTCAGCACTTTAAACACTAACTTTCTGGGCTTAGAGACGGGGGGTGGATTTAGGATAGCTGTCAAGTTGATGATGGCGCACGCAACGAAGAACCTCGACATGCGAGTCCTGTCCCTCTATGCATATCTCGTACTTAGTTGCTCATGACTTCCTCAGCGATTTCGTCCCTCTGGTAAATATTTTCGGAGTGTATGTCAAGATACGGGATGACTACATGAACTTGCAAAGCACAGAGGTAAGCCTGCATAGCGTATTATTCCTACCAGAAGCGAAAGCTCAATATGCTCTACAGCACAGCGACAACAAGGGCTTCGCAGAAGACCTCACCGAGGGCAAATTCTCCTTCCCAATCGTTCATGGAGTACGTGCGGACGAACAGAATCGAGTTGTTATGAGTGCGTAGATAATACTGATCTATGTGCATGAATTGATTGGCTGCTATCATACAGACGTGCTACAAAAACGCCCTACGACACCGACCCTGAAGCATCACACAGTTGACTACCTCCGCACACAGACAAAGTCGTTTGACTACACACTTGCGGTGATGAGCACCTTGGAGCGGCAGGTCTGTTTGTCTTCTGTGCCTACACGCTTCCCGCTGAGTTTTACATCTAGGTCCGGGAGGAGATTGCACGCCTTGGCGGTAATCCCCAGCTTGAGAAGATATTGGACGCCCTGCATGTGGAACATGATTTACATGATTCAGGTGGGTGTGTAGATGAAGGAGTTGTACCTTGAGTCGAGAGTGAATCTTGGACTTGTGAATATGTGGAGTTTTCACTCGTATCTGGGAAGTACAAGCCAGGCTGGTCTCGAGTTTGAGTGGGGTTTTAATGTACTGATTGATTGTACTTACTTGCTTTCAGCGTTGAATTGGTTTGATGTTATACCATAACATCCACTCATGGATAGTTCTTTGGAGGTTCATCTCAACTGGGGAAGCCTCCTGGCCAAAGTGATTGCCACAACAGAATCGAAATCTGTTTCTCTTGGATCACGCAGGTTCAAAACCTGCTGATTACAAGGTTTCTTTTTCTATCGGAACACACCTTGACATTGACTCATGGATGGTTTTCTTGGACGCTTATCCTATCTGGTGTTACTAGCTAAGTGGCTACCACAACAGAATCAAAATCTGTTTCTCTCTCTCGGAACACCGTGACACTTTGACATTCACTCGTCGACAGTTCCTCGGTTATTTATCTCAACTTTGTCCTGGCCATGTAATGAACCACCAGTGGGTTTTAGTAGGTATTGCGTGTCAGTTGAGTCCCACAGTACATAGAAATGGGTCTGCGTAAATGCATTCCGCCCTGACAGGTTGAAATCCCTGTATCCCTGGTTGCAATTCCTGGCACACTGACGGGCCGACCGGGGTTGACTTTGTCAGTTGCTAGAAGCCAGTGGTCTCGAGCCACAACGTTCTACCAAGAAAAACGACAGTTACGGCCCGAACCTAGTCACCTGCGTAGCGCCTCTTAACTCCCCACACCTGCAGACTGGTTTTGAATCCGGAAACACAAGTGCAAATGAAAAACGACATTTGCGTCAGATCTTCCAAAAGCGATTCATTTATTCTACCCCGCATAATCATTTGAACGTTCTCATGGCATGATAACTCCACTTCGTCGCGACATTGGAAATGAGCATTTTCATTGAAAAAATTCAAATTTATTGTCCTTTGGGGTCGAAGGACATACACGCGGGGGGACTTACTCCGGCTTAACTATCAAATAAGTACGTAACTTTCTGGCTCTACAGGACAATTTGTATTTATGCTGCAAATTGCGAACCAGACCTCCTGACCAGATCGAGTCGCAAATTTCCAAGAGCTCAGCAAAATGAATAAAATTGTATTTTCAACCGGCGGAGGACGAGAGTTTGAAGCAGTGATCGACGATCAATCCAACGCAGACCATCGTCCCGCCGTGGCGACCTACCTGGAGTACCACACATATCAGAATTGGGGTACATGGATATGGCAGCTAGACGCACTGTGAAATTTTTCCAGCAGTCTCTGGGATCATTATGATCAAAGGACAATATGTGCCAGAGACACAGGAGGAACGGGGCAAGGGCACTCATCATATAGAACGGAAGGCCCTGGTCGTTCAAGTAACCAGCCCACAAAAGACACACAAAGAAGGTCGTATCAAATAATGTCAATACAGGACGAATGGCTTTGCCCAAATCGACTGCCATGGACTTGACGCCGGCCTTCTCGTCGTCCTTCTTGTCCTGAGCGATACGATCAGCACATACCTCAGAGTGGAAGAATTTTTCAGGTGGTCACCTGGCATGCGTAAATGGTGTCGTAGATGCAATTCCAACTAAGGAGGTATTACTATCAGCATGACTCAACGAAATTTACCTTCCTCCGCACTTACCAGCACGGTGCAATTGCTATGTTCAGGATTATACCCCAATCATAATGGTCAGTCGTTGCAACCCACGTTCCTGGGACAGCCCAGCTAGAAGAAAAGCCTTGGAACAAGATATGATGGAATACTTTTCCATGCAATGGAAAGTCATACCGAGGAACAAAGAAGGCCAGTTCATCCAACGCTTCATCAACGGATACGTCGCGATACAAACGGGGATAGTCTGTCAGAGAATTTTCGACATTTCTTGAGCGATCTGCTCACGCTTTGGTTCCACAAGTTGAAAACAAGTAGAAGAGGGCGGCAACGAGTTGAACAACCAGAAGTGCTGAAGCCTCTGTCCTAGTGACAACTCCTGATGCAATCGGTCGGCCCTGTGAGCGTTCTATTCCGCATTGAACACATCAAGATATCACAGTCGAGATTGGACTAAGACCTACCAACCTTGCGATCGAGATCGCGGTCAAGCATGTCATTTAGGACACAGCCTGCGCTATGCACCAGTATGCCCAACAATGCAAAAAATAAAGTATTCTTAACAACTTCGTTCACCGGTAACGCCAGACGATAGGCCGCCGATAGGAAGGCCCAACCTAGACATGATGTCACAAGTTATGGTTAAATAACAAGGCGGCTGCATCATCTTCCATCTTACCGAAGGGCCAAAACATGAAGTCGCACCCTACTAGAAACCAGTGGAGCCTGGTGAGCTTGAATAATGCTCTTGTTTTGGAAGGCATCTCAGCATGTAAGGTATGTGACGGCGGAAGAAAAAATTAGCAACATCCTGGTAGCAATGCTCATTATTATAGGTGACCCTGTGTGAGGTAGTACCGTACTATCGGTTACCGTTCGTCTAGCCAAAGCGCTCTTTCAGCGACCGCCGCTTTCAAGCTGCTTCTTTCCTCGATTTCGTTTGATGGGATGGCAACTTAAACTACTTACCCGTGTAAATCACTCTCACTGCCAGTGGCAGAGCAGCCAATCATGATTGTGGCATAATACGCCGTTGGAAAAAATGTGCCTGCACACCAGCTCCATGCAGCACCGAGTTAGTTTAATGCGGAAAAAACTGTCAGGACTTAGGTATATGTTATATATGTCCTGTCACTCCTGTGATCAACCCCGACTGGACTCGGAGGAGCGAATACTATGCACATGTTTACAGGTGTTTGCGAAACTAATGGCAATGATTAAATAATGTCCATTCTTATAAGTACTGTAACACTTACATAAGCAACCATCACTGAAATCAACGTTTCAACCATGACCCTACGGCCGCAAGCCTGAGTACTCTATCGTACGAATCATTGACACATTTGCAGGGATATTCGAGATGTGGCACCACTGCAATGAGCTACGTGGCAGTTTCCCGGTTACTGATAGAAGATTGGCAACTTGCATGCTTAGTGGCAGGGCGTTCAGTGCGCAAGTAGCCGCCAAGTCTGTGGTGCTGCTGCTGGTTATATCCACCATTCGAGTACGCCGGATCTCATCAGTGGCTGGCTGGCCAACTTACTGGAATCACCATCATCATCTCAGGGTATGTTCATGAACTTCGAAAAAAAAAAATACCGCCACCCCAACACCAGTCATTTCCAGGATCATATCCTCACAGGCTCTCCATAATCATTAAGAACCTGTTTAAACGCGTACTGTGTCACGGGTTCTCGAAGTGGAACTTTTTGGGACCATAGGTACAGCTTCTTTGCGGCGAGCGCTTCCGGAAGTCGGAGCCAGCACCAGCACATTCAAATTTCCTGCTACTACATAGGACTGCATCAGTGCGGTCTTTTTATCTGCTTCTGTATCCCCAATGTCGTCCTCCCAGTTTTCTCTGTTCGATTTGCTCTCATCCACACTAGACTCGCAATGGTCGCAGGCGAATGAATCACTCATATTGGAACCCTTTACCTATATTTCCTCCAAGCCTGGCAAGGGAGTCCGTACACTGCTCCTGGAGGCTTTCAACATCTGGCTTGCAGTCCCGTGCGATCAATTCAAGATCATAGACCGTGTTGTTCAAATGCTGCACAATGCAAGCTTGATGATCGATGACATAGAGGATGACGCGCAGCTGCGAAGGGGACAGCCTGTGACGCATAAAATATACGGCGTCCCGCAAACTATTAATACCGCCAACTACGTATATTTCTTGGCCTATAGGGAGCTCGCGAAGCTGAGAAGACAATGTGAAGATGGGGGTGAGACGAGGGTGGGAGGCGCTAAAGATTTGGATCTGATAGTCACAGAAGAGCTTTTGAACTTACACCGTGGGCAGGGGATGGAGATCCTGTGGCGGGATTTGTTGCAGTGCCCAACGCTGGAAGAGTATACTTATATGGTCAACAATAGTACGGCTGTTCCACTTTGGCATGCTACATTCTAACTTTCGGTGTGCAGAGACCGGCGGTGGTTTTAGGATGCCTGTCAAGTTGATGATGGCGCTCGCAACGAAGAACCTCGATGTGTGAGTCTTCTCACTCTAAGCATATGTTGTAAACAGCTGCTCATGAAATCTTTAGCGATTTTATCCCTCTGGTGAATATTATTGGGGTGTACTTCCAGATTCGGGATGACTACATGAACTTGCAAAGTACAGAGGTAAGCTTGCCATTGTCCTGCGCTTGTACCTAGAGTGTCTATCAACAAGCGCCATCTGGCCACGACGCATTCCGGATCACTCATGGTCCATCCGTAGTTTATGATTCAAACTAGATGAAAGAGCTTAAAGGTGTTATCCAGTACAACGACAATAAGGGCTTTGCAGAAGATCTCACAGAAGGCAAATTCTCCTTCCCAATTGTTCACGGAGTCCGTACGGATGACCAGAATAAAGTCGTGACGAGTGCGTAGATGATCTCAACATCTAGGTGCATCGATTGATTAACCACCGTCATACAGGCGTGCTACAAAAACGTCCAACCACACCCACTCTGAAACACCACGCCATTGACTATCTCCGGACGAAGACAAAGTCATTTGATTACACGCTTGTCGTGATGCAAAGCTTAGAGCAACAGGTCCGTTTGTCTGTTGTGCCTGCACACTTGCTGCTGAGTTTCTGTTTTGTAATTCAGGCCCGGGAGGAGATTGCACGCCTTGGCGGGAATCCCAAGCTCGAGATGATGCTTGATGTCCTCCACGTGTGAAAAATGATTTGCGTGGAATGGAGATCATGGCCTTCAGCTCAAGTCGCAAGCGAAACTTGGACTTGTGAAATACTGACTACGTCCTTGAGGAGGTGGAATTTTGTAGTCACCGTGACTCGGCTAATCACGAACCTGACTGGTGTTTCTGAATGTATTGCAGTTCTTACACATCATGTTTCTGCTTTATTGGCTAATGTGTGCTTACCCACTTGACAAGGAGGCGGGTCGTCGCGGGTTTCAAACCGACACTAACGATGAGTAAGTATTGGCCCCCTTGGCGGGACTGGGACATTGGGCTCGAGGGCAAAGATAATATCGAGGTGATCACACCGAGCGCTAATAGCCGATTAACGCACGTTAGGGCATTAAGATGCTAATTAGTCATGCTCTGGCGAGGATTTCTTACTTTCGTTGGTATGGTGGACGATAGGTTACGGTTCGATTTGCCGATTTGCCGCGACTTATTTGGAAGTCCGATCGATGTTTATTCTAGTATTACAAGTATACCTAGGTATACCTGTATATAAATTCGTGTCACACTCAGTGCATTCCTTGCTTGCAGACCGCTGCAGATGACCGTTTGACCTGCAAGCACCTCACGCAACTCCCACAACCTCTCGCTGACCTCTCGCCTCTTGCAAGTGCAGCATGCGGAAACAGGCGCCTGTGAGACTCCCACACCCTTGCAAGGCCGTAGTGAGCCGCCTAACCGTCGAGTCTCTGCCGATGCGATTAGCTTGGACGCGGGCATTGTTAAAATGCTGCAACTGTTGCGGTAAACGTGAGGTGTATTTACACTAACTTACTATGCACTTGCTTTGTCGCTGCCATCTGCGTATATGATGCATTTATCAAAGTTGAAAGCATTGAACAACTTCACATGATGAGCTCACTCGGTACTTAGTATTTTGAACTGCAGCACTGAAGGCTAATATGCGGTGAGAATTGTCTTCTCGTTCCTTCAGATTGAAAATTCGGGCTTCGGTTTCTGGATTCTGAGGCGGACAGGTTGGGCCAAAGAACTATGTTTGCTGCATTAAGCATGCATATGATACCGGTGCCTTTCATTCGTCTCACTCGTAGTTTGTACTATGATCATTAATGAACCAGAGGGTGCCGTGGCACCTCATTTTTGATGGGTTCTGTCAATTTAACCTCCATCGCCCTCATCCATGTCCGTTGTACTCGTTCCTGAAGTGGCAAGCTGCTTTGAATGAACAACCTCAAAGTAAATGTGCATTTTCCCGCTCCCTGCACACTTCCCGCCCATCGCAAATAAATCATATCGAGCATCCCCTGCGCTACACACTATTGCTAGTTGATATATGGACGCGCTCCTGAAAAGCAATTGAAGTCATAGCGGTTGCTGTATCAGAGTTAGCCACGAGCTCAGCGTGATATTCTCGAACACCGAGGATGAGGGATGATCCTAGCACAAACATCTGCACGACCTGGAATATCTCAGCGAGACCAAAATAAATCTGAGGGTCCAGGGAATATATGTCCAATAGAAATGATGAATCATGGTTGGATGTAGAGGTCGGTGACAGATCAGCGTACCGCTAAGAGTGTTGAAGAGAAGAAACCGATCTGGAAGCAAGAGATAGCGAAAAAAAACTAACACGCGAAAAACCTTAGCAGAAAATGAGAAGCCACATTGACATTATGAACTCACCTCGCAAAGTAACTAACGTGAGTTTGCATCAACACCGTGAAACAGTCCCAATTATACCTCCTGTTGAGTGTCGTCGCAGTTCACGGAATTGCTTTACAGTAATCCAGACCGCGAGACACAGTGCAAGGACCTCCCATACGGTGGAAAGTATCCAAGTCATGGAAGACAGAAATATAGAATCTCCCGCGTAGCCAATCATGCACCGATGGGTGCCGGAGAGAATGAATGCCTCTCATTTCATACATAACCAAAGCTTACCTCCTGCAATCTGCATCGTTATTATTGCGACCATAACTGCGTCGGCAATTCTGATGGCCACAAAGATGATAACGAGGCATGTCAGCACCTTTCTAGATCTCTGATACATGGTATGCAACCGAGCGATCATAATGACTTGCATGATGTTTCAGTCAAGTCAAATGTCATGGAGGTGTATAGCTCACCGCCCAGTATTACATTTACAACCTCACCCATCCAATGAAGTGCATCATAGATGATAAGGCCTGACAAATCCAGTAACATTAGTTATCAGCTTCGGAAGATCACAGACTCTGAAACAAACTCACAACTGTGGAAGTCGTTATGTTCAATCAACGAGTTGTTCGAGAATCTCACTCACCTCTGCATGGTAGTTCAGTTGTTGGACGAGAATGGAAGGCATCGGTGTGAGATGCTCACTCCAGTCGCCGGAAATTGTTGGAACACTGACTGTATGCTGCCCATCACAAGAAAGAAACAGGGTCTATGCGAGGATACACACCCAACATGTACATTCTGATTGTGAGAGATGGGTAATGAGCACAACATCAATAGCTTAAACCTCCAAACGTACACAGCATACCCCATTCCAGCATAGCGCACCTAGAATAGTCAGCAAAACTTGGACTTGCTAAGCGTAAATGTTGAAATACAAGGTACATACACCGAAATAGAGTAAGGTCATTAGGGACCAGCGTTGCCTCTGCCGTGAACAAGTTGTATCTTAACGTTGTTCTATTGATGTGGGAGTCCAGATCAGTTCAACCTGCAACACAATTCTAAGCGAGTTGACTGCCCCAGTAATGGATTCGAACATACCTCTTGTCCAAATGGTAAGCACTGAGAATACCATAAGGATATCAGTGGTTCTTTTATACTTAATCTTGCTCACCCCAATCGTACATTACCCCGACAGAGGCAGCAACTGCGAAATTAGAGTCAAGGTGAATCGAATCATCACCGTCATCATGCGGCTGACTCTCCACGAAGCTACAAAACAGCTGCCAATAAGACTTGCATTGATAAGTGGTCACCAAGTAGGATTATTTGAAACTAAGACCATACCATTAGAAGATAGGAGCGAGCGAGCGGAGGAACTTGGTGGACGGATAACAATCGCATTCGTGCTTGATATACGACAATCCAGTGTTTAAATCACCAAAGTGAGATTTGAGGAATGATATCTGATTGATCGAAGTGTTTCAGCCCAAATTCCAGTGCAAAGACAATGTGCATCCAGGGATTCCAATGGGATCAAGATAAAAGTTGTTGGTAAGATCGCAACAGTGACTCGCGAAGAATGTTTGAATGCCGCATATGATTTGGGCGCGGTGCCCGTGCGATCTTCGAAACATTCTGGCTACAGTGTCCAGTGTGCGATGCAACGTTCAGCCCCGACCCATTAATAAAACCATGTGGTTCGTTGACCCAACACAGGTTTGAACGGCACCGTGCACGTCGAGCTCGTGACAGACGCTGACTATAATTATTAACACAAAGGAGCTGGAGTGGAGTACATGCCTGAGCCAAAGTGGAGCAGAAGAGGGGTTCGGGTGGGACGCGCATGGCATGGCGTCGACGTGAATTGGTTCCGCGGGATCAAGTGCTCCGAGTCCGTTCTTACAATATGTAGATAGATATCTGCTGGCCGTGTACTAGTAACTTGCAAATAATCGTCGCCTCGATTTGATTTGCCTCTGCGGCATCACTACAGTAGTATGATACTAGTATTAGTATAGCCCAGAAAAAGATCTGGCGCTGCTGCTCCTTGTTATTACTATTTCATCAGGCCAAGGTCCCATGCTACTCGAGTCTCGGACATGTGCAGCGGTCTGCAAGTATGGTAATGCATTGAGAATGTGACACAAATTTGCATGTATGCCTAGGTATGCTTGTAATACTAGAATAAACACCGCGCGGACTTTCAAATAAGTCGCGGCAAATCGGCAAATCGAACCGTAACCTATCGTCCACCATACGTTGGTGGGTGCGCCAACCAGTCGCAATGTAACTTCACCTGTAGGTCATGCGGAGCCTTCCTCTGATCGTAATGTTATTCAATACGGTGTAGCGCTCACTGTAAGATATAAGTACAACAAATGCGGCACGTCAAGCTTTGGGCGCTTCAGCTGCACATCGTGTCCCGCCATGCTTGATTTATATGATGAAAGAGGTTCAGGCACACTGTCGGCCTTCGAAACACATGTGCAGCATGACGACCCGGAAGCGTGATGTGCTACTAACGTAGAGAGGCCTTAGTGACACGGTCGGCCGTGCTAATAGATGATTGCTGCTCCATAGCCTTTTAAGGACACTAACCAGTATTGCGGTTGTAGCACTAGACTACAGGTACTAGTAGTAGCCCTGGAGTTGAGCCCGGAATAACTCTGATGACTAATGCCGCGTAATAGTTTTTAGTAGTAAAATGCGTTCGTGCCGGACGCCTGCATGCCCAAGTCAAGGTTTCACTTAGCCTTTGCGATAAACATGCTTAGTAGTAGCGTCGCTTTGCTGCGGTGCCGACTCACCATAAAACTCAGATGTCACTAGTGGGATCGCCACGCTAGGTTCTTGCACTCTCCCTACACCGTCCAATTCAACAGGGTATCACGAAAAGAAATGTCCAAGGAACTAAAGCTAGCTAACCCTTCTGGCAAGGAACTCAGTCGTTCTCTAAGTAACCTCGAGACGGCAAAGGACCATGAGGTCCAACGCAGTCGTTTGCGCTCCATTTTTATTGTCATCACTTGTACCGCTGCAATGGTTGTTAATGTGGGTGTCCATCATACCTTTGCTCGCTGATCCTTTGTGACATCTTTAACCGCAGATATCTAATACTACCTCTGTCTCTATTTCACTCCCAACGATTGAGAAGGGGCTAGCTATTGAGGAAGAGCAGCTTCAGTGGCTCGTATCCGCGTATTCTCTCAGTTCTGTACGTTTTCGCTTCTAGTTTTGCACATCTTAACATGGTGGCTCACCTCGTGTTTAGGGTTGCCTGCTCCTGTTCTTCGGCAGATTGGCGGATCTTTATGGACGAAAAAAGGCATTTATGCTTGGCACTCTTTGTCAAATTGCCTTTTCTCTTGGTTGTGGGTTTGCACAAGGTTGGTGTGCCCACCAATCGTTCGCGTGTTCCGTCCACTCACAAATGTAAATCTAGATGGTCTCACTCTCGCCGTCTTGCGTGGCTTCCAAGGTATTGGAGCCGCCGCTACAATACCATCCGCAGTAAGTCCTCCTGAGATGTTTTTGAAGCAAAAGTACTCACTTTTTCAGCTCGGTATCTTAGCGCATGCGTTCCCTCCATCAAGAGCACGTTCAATAGCATTCGCTACCTTTGCAGCCGGTGCTCCTGTCGGCAGCGCATTTGGCATGATCATCGGCGGTGTTCTGACTCAACTTACCTCGTGGGTCATGATTACTAATCGACGCATGCTATATTTCTCACGATCTCGTGCAGACCACATTGGCGCTCTGTATTTTACATGGCCGCGGCAACTTCAGCTGTAATTGGAATTTCTGGTCTGATTTCGTTCGATGCCGACGTTCCCTCAGCGGAAGTTGTCAAACGTGTCGACTGGATTGGCGCTTCCCTTGTCACAGTTGGCTTGGTTTTGATTGTATTCGTACTTGCTCAAGGAGATATTGCTACGGATGGCTGGAAAACCCCATGTAAGAATGTCGTCAAACCATACTGGTCACGTGCTAAAACCATCAACAGATATCCTCGTGCTCCTTATTATCGGAGTCATCTTGCTTGCGCTATTCCTGGTTTGGGAGTGGAAGCTGGAACAAATCATTGACGATGATCCATCAAGAGCGACGTCTTTCTGGACACCGCCACCACTCATGAGGCTCTCGCTCTGGACTCGGGCAAAGGGACGTATGGCCGTTGTCCTGGTTATAGCATTCTTAAATTGGAGTGCCTTCATTAGCTGGAGCTTCTGGGTTCAGGTATGTTCCGGTTCCGCTACGAAGGAATGATGTCGCTGACTCCGTTTTCTAGTTGTATTATCAGAACTACCTGCTATTGACGCCGGTCGACACCATGATCCGATTCATTCCCATGTTCATTGTCGGCTGTTTATGTAACTTTTTCGTGGCGATGGTCGTTGCGAAATTGCCCTTAGTTATCTTCGTAGGCAAGTGTCTATGTGTGGAATATTAACATGTCAAGCTGACTTGTGGTCCAGTCAGCGGAACGCTCCTGACAGCAACGGCCGCCATCCTGTTTGCCCTAATTGACCCGTCTGTGACATACTGGGCCTTCGGTTTCCCGTCCACGGTTCTTATCGTGTTCGGCGCTGATTTCGTATACTCCTCCGGTACAATTTTCATTGCCAAAACCTCGCTCCCACATGAACACAGCGTAGCTGGAGCGCTATTTCAAACTATGACACAGGCGAGTCCCGTGAAACAAGTAACGCTGTCCTGTGCTAAACTAACAGGTTTTTGGTTAGATCGGCACCGCATTCGGTCTAGCTATATCCACAATTGTGTTCAACACTGTAGTCGATACGGAATCTGCGAAGCTCGGTGTCATTGTAAACTCTAGCGGCACCAATGCGCCCTTGTCTGCACAACTGACGGGGTATAAAGATGCGCAATGGACCTCCGCTGCGTTTGCCCTTATGGGTGAGTACTGCAAATTTGTGTTGTGTTGAAAGCGGATCATTGACGGTTACTGTGATTATAGCCGCGCTGCTGGCAGCGCTTTTCCTCCGCAGTGTTGGTATCGTCGGACACAACAGGGTCATTAGGCATGTTGATTCTGACCAGACCATAGCTGCCCATGCTGCGGCTGACGACACTGGGATACCCGATATGTCCAACTAAGCAAGACATCGATGTTCAAACGGACGTTACTTATGCTGCATCATGAACTCGTATATGCCCTCC